TTACACACTTCATCCCACGCTACAAGATGAATCTTTTTCCTTTCTCTTGTTGAGCCCCAGAGAAAACCTCGAGAACATTTATGAATCTCCTCACAAGTACTCACAGGTAGATGAGCAGTTTGCATACAATAAAGAGGAATAGTACTCAACACAGACTTTGTTAAGGTTGTTCGTCCTGCAAAGGAAATAGAAGTTGCTTCCAACTAGATAGTCGCTGTTTCATTTTATCCACCACAAATTGATAAGTATTATTGATCACACGATTATGATGGAGAGGGACTCCAAGATATTTATCCAAATCCGTCGTACGGTTAAATTCAAGAAGGTCACTAAGCTGCTGTGCTCTATTATGATTCACATTCCTAGAGAAAAACACCCTAGTTTTAGAGTGGCTTACCTTTTGTCCGGACATTGCATAGAAACGATCCAGACATTGTCTAATCACCTGTACTTGGTCCAAAGTTGCTTTCACAAAAATAACCAGATCATCAGCAAAGAAAAGATGGAAGAGAAGAGGACCATCTTTTTTTAAGCGAATGGGTCTCTAATTACCTTTAACAATCTCTTCTTGTATCAGATGAGCAAGCTTTTCAATACATAAAACAAAAAGATAAGGAGAAAGAGGATCTCCTTAACGAAGACCTCTAGTCGGTTTAAATTTTTTTGTTTTACTTCCCTCCCATAAGAGTTGCATCTTAGAAGATCTTACACATTACTGAATAACCTCAACCAGCTTAATTGGCAAATTAATCTCCTCCAAGCATGAAATAAGAAAATCCCAATTAACTCTGTCATAGGCTTTTTCAAGATCAATCTTAATCGCCATAAAGCCTTTCTTTCCTTTCATATTACGCATAGAATGAATAACTTCCTGAGATATTATGATATTATCTGAGCTAGTTCTTCCTGGAATAAAACCTCATTGATTAGGAGCAATAATAGTAAGGAGGAGAGATTTAACTCTATTAGCAATAACCTTAGTCACAACTTTGTAAATAATATTACAAAGGCTGAAAGGCCGGAAATCACGAATGGACTCAGGATGTTCCTTCTTAGGAATGAGAATAAGTAACGTCCCATTAATCTTATGGACAAGAGACGGATTGTTGAAAATACGCTGAACCATATTTATAACAGAATTACCAATAAACTTCCATTGGCTTTGAAAGAAAAGCGCATTTAAACCATCTGGTCCCAGAGATTTCAAAGGCCCCATACTAAAAAAAGCATTCTTAATTTCCTCATCACAAAAATTACTACCCAGCTCATGTAAAGAGCCATTATCTATGCAAGGGAAAGAAATAGAGCAAGGGATGAAATTACCTGTAGTAAGAGCAGAATCTTCATAGAAAAGGTTCTTAAAGAAAGACAAAGCTATATTCTTGATTTCCTCATAATCATACGTCTACTCACCATTGTCATTTTGAATGGCCTCAATTATATTCCTCTTCCTTCTAGCATTAGCTCGAGCATGAAAGTATTTAGAGTTTCTATCTCCCAAAATAAACCATTCACATTTAGCTTTTTGAGCTGAAAGTAGATTTTCCTGGAGAATAACTTCTTCAAGTTCCTGCCAAAGATTCTTCTGAAGACACTCAAGAGAGTCCGCATTATAGCATCTCCCAATATATATTTTTGGGCTTGAATAACACACAATGTCACGAGTGATTATTTCAATTAGAATGTCAAGCCCGAGTACATTCCAAGAAATCAAAATTTGGTAGCTGATAGACTAGCTAAAGAGGCTATGATCGTATCTTTTTTTCATACAGTGTTCCTTCTCATTTAAGGGATTTAGTACTTAAATGATGGCATGGGATCCCTGCTTTCCTTCTTGCCAATATATATATATATATATATTGGGATGGATCAAGTTTATTTAGACCACACTTATTGAAATTGAGTTTAAAATATTTAAATATATAAAAAATTTTATAATTAAGTCTGACTCTAATATTCTTAAGTTATGGCTTATTCAAGATAGCCCAAATATTTAAAACTTTTTAAAATTACTTCTTTTTCTTATTTTTTAATCAATTTTAATTTTTATCTTAAAAATTAAATTTTTCGAACAATATAAATACAATAACACACATTAAAATACATAATATAAATCATAAAAATTACATCATCAATATTAATAATAAAGTTTGAAATTTTAATTATAATATAATAAAATAAATTTTAACTAAAAATACTAACAAAATCAAAATAAATCTTGGGAAGTTAAAATCTTAGCCTTACTTGATCAACACTTACCTCTCATAGGATGCAGACCCTCTTCTTGTTGTCGCTGTTGTTTTTCAAACGAGAAATGCATTTGGAAAATCAAATAGTTAGATTCATGATTGTGTCCTCTGGTTCTTTCATTTGTTTAACCATCGGTCGTGCTATTTGCAAGCAAGTCACATCTCAACAACTTTTTTTGTTTTTTTTATTCATCTCTCTTGTGATCACCTTTCCATTATCATTTCGCCTCCTTTTCTTTAAACTGTGTGTTCTATCCTCCGCATTTTATCAGCTTCTCCCTAGATTTACCCATACCCCTTCTTTCTCTCTTCTTCAAGGCAGCCATGGGAGATGGGATCCAGCTCTCCTACATTTTGATTCCCTCTCTTCCCCCTCCCCCCACCCCACTCATAAATCCCGAACTGATAAATTCAGCAAATCCACAAAGACTCGGCGAGGAAAGAGGAGCATAGCCAAGCGAAGACACCCATCACTCTGTTTCTTGGACTCGCCGATTATCTCGTTGTGCCGACCATCGCCATTTGCCGATGAGGGGAGTAGGAGAAGCTGCTGAACCGAAGGGTGAAGGTGAGAGAGGCGAGAAGGGTTTTTGTCTTTTTGAGACACGTACGAGAGACTGCGAGAGAGACCTGAGGAGCTGAGTCTGACTCTGTTATTTTAGTTGAATTTAATTCTTTAAAAAAGGATGCGGGAGGCCCGAAATTTGTCGGGCTTAAGCCCGAAATATAAGAATTGTTTTTTAAAATACTAAATCTGTGTTTAAGATTTTTCAAGCTGGCCCGACAAGACAATCCGAATGACCGCCTCTTAATTTTCAATATTTAATTTGGGCTGGCTGATGTAATGGGATGCCAACCCTTTGCCTTTTCTTGGGTATAGGGAGGGCAAAATGCATACTGTGACTTGTTTTTTTTTTTTTTCAAAAAAGACAACATCGACTCCTCTAACTATTCTTTTTCACTTTATGAAAACACGAAGCCCAAACTGATTCCTATTACTACCCGCAGGCCCAAGACGATCAGATCCATCACAAGCATGTTGCGCAGCTCAGGTGGAATCTGAGGTGAACACATGCAACAGCAAGACCGTACTTGGCCTAGACATGATCAGTAGGATCGTGCAAAAATTCTTCAATTTCATATGGTTTGATCCAATTCAAAACAAATTCAATTCTATTCGATTCAGATAAAAATTAGTCTTTTAGGATTAAAAAAATCAAAAAAATTATATTCTTTTTTCAGGTTGGATTGAATAAAAAATTGAGCATCCCTCATCCGGTCTTATAAATTTATTTAATATAATTATAATTAATTTATTAATTATCATTATAATAAGTTAATTTGTGATAATAATTAGTATTTTTTTTTGTTTTATACTTGTGAAGTCATAAATAATGAGAAAAAATTTAGCACTGATCAACTTCAATCTTCTCTTTTTATTAGTGAAATTTGTTATTAACTTGTGTAATAGATTTTAAATATGTTAAATGTTGTTTAATGTTTTTAAAAGTTGTTTAATTTAAATAATTCATATTGTAATTAAATTTTTTTTGTTGTTATTGAAAATTGTTGTGAATTTATGATTGTTATTATTGTAATAAATTTTATATGACTATAAATAATTTTATTATGTTAATTGAATTTATTATGTTAAAATAAATTGTCATCTTCTTCTAGATGAAAAAAAATAAAATACTGGACAAAACTGGAATTAATTTTTTAATCTTATTAAATCAGTACAGTCCTATTTAACTTTAAATTATATTAAAATAAGATTGAATTATTTAACTCAACTTTTTTTATAAAAAACAGATTTCAGGTTAGTCTTTTGTGCAGCTTTAATCATCAGCTTTGTTGGCATCACGCCTCGAGCGATGAAGCTTCTTTTTCAGTCCCTGCCAATTCGAGCCTCCAACGTTTCAGTTGAATGTATAACACGCGATGAAGCTTCTACAGATAGCTAGAAAGGCAGGAAGAAAAAAGACTTAAGGATGAGTCTCATGTTTCGATGAGTAAATTAATTTTCAGTGACAATAATATATATATATATATATATATATATATAATATATATATGTATATATAATTGAATTACAGACTTGCAATTGTCAGTTGTTTGCACCAAACATGAGCAAAGCATAAGCCGAATAAACAGAAGATAAAATAATTCATTCATAGTGCTGATCATTGGGGTGGCACTCAATTCAGGTATTATTTGAATTAAATTTAAAATATTTTACTATATGAAAAAACTCATAACCAAACTTAACCTTGATGCCTTTGCCTTTTGGACTAACGTAAATATCAAAATTATTAAATATTATTTTACTTTATTTTTTAATTTCAATTTTTATTTTAAAAAAATAATTTTTTAATTTTTATAGTATTTATTAATAATAAAAAATTTTAAATATTCGGCTAAGCCTATATAATTCAAACTTGACCCTTATTTTTTAGGTTTATTTAAAAGGTTTGAATAAACTCAAAATAATTGTTTTTTAAACTTTCGAGCTTAATTTTATTTTTATCTAATTTAACCCACCCAAATTAACGTCCCTAACAATTCAAATAGGGGAAGGGAAGGGTCAAAGGGAAAACGTTTGCCTACAACGCCGATAATATGATTGCCGTTGTTATCTAGACCACCGGCTAGTTGACATCTGGCCAATCCAACATGTGGTGGCCACTCGGCATCATCCAAAAGCAAGTAGAAAACTTTGTTATATGATAATTAATAAAAATAGAATTTCTCAGTTCTTGCGCCTTGAGGTAACCCCACCTCAATTTGTCCCTGACGCCTAGCCACTCGAGCTTTACCATTACCAGAGACTCCTCCCCTGCGAGATTGGATCTGGTGAGCCACCACATCCCTCCACTACCCCCTCCTTACCCTTCCACGAGTCGCAGCTGCCATGATTCTTTTGCTTTCCTTCTCTCCTCTCTGGTAAGCCATTCACTCAATCTCGCTGCTTAATGCACTAATTAATTCCCTTCTCAATATTGTTGCCGCTTTCCCGTGATTCTGCTTTCCCTGAAAATATTGTTGTCAAGAATTTCTGATTAATTATAGCTCGATTTTGTGCTTTTTTATTTTCGCTTCCATTATAGCTACATCTAGTTGGCGCGAATCCACTTTTGGCCCCAGATGGTGTGCTAGGTGCTCTGCGGTGGTTGATTTAGGATAAGGATTTCCGGTGATATTTCGTGCTTATGGATACTTTGCTTAAAACACCTAACAACCTTGAATTTCTGCTTCCACTTCACGGTTATTCAGAAAAATTGAGTAATCCTGCCTCCTCGAAGTTCCAGAACCAGGAGCTGAGATTTTTCCCCAAGAAATCACACGTGAAATGGGTTAGTTCTTGTACGAGGGCTAGTAGTAGTGCTCTTTTGGAGCTTGTTCCCGAAGTTAAGAAGGAAACTCTGGATTTTGAACTTCCTCTGTATGACTCGTCGAAGGGCATCGTGGTGGACCTCGCTGTCGTGGGAGGAGGCCCTGCTGGGCTTGCAGTTGCGCAGCAAGTTTCTGAGGCTGGTCTTTCAGTTTGCGCTATTGACCCAAATCCCAGATTGATTTGGCCCAACAATTATGGTGTCTGGGTAGATGAATTTGAAGCTATGGACTTACTTGATTGCCTTGACACTACTTGGTCTGGTGCTGTTGTTTTCATTGATGAACAAACGAAGAAGGATCTAGATAGACCTTATGGGAGGGTCAACAGGAAGCAGTTAAAGTCAAAGATGTTGCAGAAATGTATTTCAAACGGTGTTAAGTTTCATCAAGCTAAAGTTGTTAAGGTAATTCACGAGGAGTCCAAGTCTGTGTTGATATGTAATGATGGTGTCACTGTTCAGGCTGCTGTGGTTCTTGATGCAACCGGCTTCTCAAGATGTCTCGTTCAGTATGATAAACCGTATAATCCAGGTTACCAAGTCGCATATGGAATTTTAGCTGAGGTTGATGAGCACCCTTTTGACGTAGATAAAATGGTCTTCATGGACTGGAGAGAGTCACATCTGGATGGTAACGTGGAGCTGAAAGAGAGAAATAGCAGAATACCTACTTTTCTGTATGCAATGCCCTTCTCATCCACCAGGATCTTTCTTGAAGAAACTTCTTTAGTTGCTCGGCCAGGGTTACAAATGGCTGATATCCAGGAAAGAATGGTCGCTCGATTGAAACATTTGGGCATTAAAGTGAAAAGCATTGAAGAAGATGAACACTGTGTCATTCCCATGGGTGGCCCCCTCCCTGTTCTTCCCCAAAGGGTGGTTGGAATCGGTGGTACGGCCGGGATGGTGCATCCTTCAACTGGATATATGGTAGCTAGGACCCTAGCCACGGCACCAATTGTTGCTAATACCATTGTTCAGTGTCTTGGTTCCGATAGTAGCCTTTCAGGAGCTGAACTATCTGCGCAAGTGTGGAGGGATTTATGGCCAATCCAAAGAAGGAGACAAAGGGAGTTCTTCTGTTTTGGTATGGACATCTTACTGAAGCTTGATTTACCAGGCACGAGGAGGTTTTTTGACGCATTTTTTGATCTAGAACCTCGTTACTGGCATGGCTTCTTATCATCAAGACTGTTTCTTCCTGAACTCATATTTTTTGGTCTATCTCTATTCTCTCATGCTTCTAACACATCTAGGATAGAGATTATGGCAAAAGGAACTCTTCCGTTGGTTAACATGATCAACAACTTGGTAAACGATAAAGAATAAGATGAATGCCTAATAATTTGTTGTACGCTATTGGTGTAGGTGCACTTGCACCTGAAGTTTGCTGATATTATTGAATTTCAACACGTTAGATTAGTTCTTCTTGCTGTTATGCTTAGCTCACAGGAAATTCCCATGGGACAGCGAGTAGTAACAACATTCCTTAAACTTCCTCCAGAGCATGCTCATCTCTATTTTCAACTGTGCATGCATTTTACGCTTGTCATGGGTTAAAAAAAAAAAAAATAATTGTTTCTTTGTTGCTCGCCCTTTAATCCTGTTTAAAACCCTCTGATTTGCTGCATTTGGAGAAAGCTTGGATGACATCTGTAACATAAAGGATCATTATCTACCTTTCCTGTTAAATTTTAGAACATTTCGGTTTGTTAGAGACTCGTGATCCGTAATATTCTAGCTCAATAACCCTTTCTATTTTATTAAATTAGTAAAGTGGTGAATGATCATCCTGTTTAGGGTTAGGAGTCTGTGTTTCAAGGCTGACCCTTGTACATCACGTTAATCTTAAATTACTCAGCCTTGCTTGACATCTGAAATACGCTTGTATTGAAAGAAATACAGAGTGGGTTGGCGCAGTCCACTTCCGTGCATGCATGGTCATTTGCCAAAGTTTCCAAGGTTATAACAGATGCCTGGTCACAATAAGATGTATCGAATATGTATTTGGCATATTTATTTAACAAAATTATTTATATCTTAAGATTCAGACTTGAGACCCAAAATAAGTTGAATTAACTCTTGATTAATTGAACCAAATGACCATTGGTATAGTTAGAGGGATTTTAATTGCAAATAAATATCATTGTTCTTCCATGATATTTTAATAATTCAATGTTTTTATTATTATTTTTGCAATGTCTGTAATTGTCATTTTCCCAAATTAAAACTCCATTGCCTACATGTTCCCTTAGCTTCTAATTCATTTGGGTATATGCAGCCTCTAATCTTACTCATATTGATCATTTTTTCATATATGTATGATCTAGGAATGATGTGGTAAAAAATATACTCCTTTTAAAGCGTTCATCTTTTCATGTAAAGTAGGTTATAAAACGAACTATTGAAATTTTATATAATAATAATAGGGAATAAGGTCTTCAAAGAAGCAGTTTGTTCAAGATATCAAAAACTCCATATAAGTCCTTTAGTCCTTCGATGATCAAAAACTAAAAAGCAAAAATATTAAACTACCCTTATAAAATTCTAACCGTGCGTTCAGATATTCTCCTAGAAACTCATGCTTCTGAATCCCTTCTGAAAACATAGTTCTCTGCCACTAATGTTCCGCTAGGCAAGACTTTTCCGTGATGGTCCCAGTAGATGAAATATTGAACATAGTGCAGACATAGTGCTACTCTGAATACGATTCTGTTATTTCTTCTCCCTGAATCAATGACTGAAAGTAACGCTTCTCTAAAACATGTCCATGTCATGAATACTCAAAAAGGCAAACAGAGCATGCCCTTCCACTTCAAGGATTTGCAACTACTACTCCCTTATTTGCAACTTAATTTTTTTTTTTAAATTTGCAAGTAGTGTTCCCATGCTTAATTTGGAATAAAACCTCTTGACATCAAAATTTATGAGAAATGATTTAGTCCATTGCAGCAGTTACTTCTTGATTTGTAGCTAAAAGTATAACATTCAACAGCGAGTGCCAAGGGATCCACTCTTGAAAGTATATATTAAATATTTTTAATTAAAAATTTTAATTTTCAACAGCGAGTGTCCCAATGTAAAAAACTATTATGAATTAAAAAATTTCATAATTAATTATTATCATCAATGATTTTAGTGATACCTGTTATGATAGTGAAAATGACATGGTTAGTCATTTTAACTAATGTTATCTGTGATTTAAAATTTTTATTTTTCCATCATCTTCCTTGTGATTGCAATTAGTAGCCACTCGTTAGCCCTTCTCCCCACGCACTCTATTGTTGCCCTTGAGAGCTCAAAACCCCTCTCCTCCCTTAATTGATGTTGTCTCTATTGTTGTTGAAACTCCACACCACCTCTTCTCTTTGTAACATCTTAAAAATTTAAACCCTTTTGTTAATCAAACTAAGCAAGGATAATTAAATAAGATCAATGTGATGTGTTGTTAGAGAGGACTAATGAGTATTTTTTATTGTGATTTCAGCTATAAACTTAGTTCTGAAGTGAAATTAGATCACTTGGGCATCAAGAAAGGTGAAAAACAAAGGAAGAAGTCCTTGTGCCACATGCGGTGCATATGGCCAAAAGAATGAGAAGTCTTCTTTATACCATATGCTATGGTGCACACTCTGATTCTGCAGAAATAAGAGACGAATCAGAGGAAAAATCAAAAGAATTAGAAGGTAAAAAACAAAAAACACTTGGAGATCTCTACTAGAGCTTCATTTTCAAGAGAATTGGAGGAATTTTGAAACTGCTAAACTCTAAGAATAAGTCTCCTAACCTCTCCTTCTCCCTTCTCAACCCATTTTCTTAAGTTTATAGTTAGATTTTGAGAGTTATTTAAGTGGTTAAAACTTATGATTGAAGGTTTTTGACATTAATGGTGGTTGTGAATCATTAATGTCTGAAAATGAATAATAAATATAGGTTCTTAAAGCGGTTGAAAGTCATTAATGGTGAGTCAAGTATTTAATGAAGGTAATGGGAGTTACATCTAATGGATAAGCTTAAATGTGAGAAATAAGGGCTTTAAATATTTTTAGAGATTTAAGTGAAGAAGTTAAGTTGCACATAATAATGTTGATGATTGTAAATTTGATTAATTATAGATTAATCACCTCGTACACGATATTTGGCTTAAGAGCAAGCTTGGAAGCAAATTATAGGGGTAAACCCTTGACTTTTTAAAATCAAAGGCTTGAGGTAATTGAGAAAAAATTATTCTATTTAATTACTTGTTAATTGATTTATATTTTAAAAATGAATTACTTGATGTGGATGAGTACTTTGCATAATTGTGTTTATGTGCCAACATATGATGTTTGAATATGATATATTTGAAATACTACTATCATGTTTTAAAAGAAAAAGGTTGAGCTTGGAATGTTTTTATATAAAATTATGAGTCAAAATTAAAAGTTGATTTAATGATTGTGTAATATAGAGAATGCGTAATTGAGTTTTAAAATGGAAAATATTTATGAATAATTAAAGATGCTCACAAGGGTTGGTTTATTATTATAACCTAATAAGTTATTTGAGTTGTGAACATGTGAAATGAGTGAATATCATACATTGCATGATCATTTAGCAGGAGTTCGTCTAGGAAAAAAACAGATAAATCCATATGATATTATGTGGCCGCCTTTTGGTGAATAAAGGCTAGCATTGTCCCAATATTTGTTGAGGGATTATCTCATTGTTTGTTGAGGGATTCAAATCTAGCTAACTTATTAGCTTGTTGAGGGGTTTAGCATAGGGTTTACGATACCCTAGGGATTTGAGGATGGGGAAGCCGTGTTCTGAGAGTGAGTATAGTGATTTTTGGTCTGGTCAATCCTTACAATTGGTGAGCTTGGGTGGTTCATTTACATTGACGGAGGCCTAATTGATTAATAGCCCATGACTTTAGTTAGAAGGTATAAGGAGGATATAAAAATAGTCTAATCATGCCTTTTTTATTCAATATGTCACATGGTTGATAAATTTATGATAAGCCATGATAATTATGTGTGTTATTATCACATGGTTGTTATTATCGTAGCAATATGTATCATTATTGTTGATAGGGCCATTGTCACATGGTTGTCTACATTGTGATAATATGCCTTGTGATATGAGTTGTGAAAAATGAGAATGAGATAAATTTTGTAACTATGATAAGTTTTTCATCTCTTAATTATATGTTTTTATCGATTAATATGCAATTATATAGGATAGACGAACCTTAATTACTGAGTAGTTATACTCAGCCTTTTTTTTAATATTTTCTAGGCTTTAGCTTAATTGCAGATAGAGGAAAAGCTCCAGAGGCTTAGGAATTTTGCATTCCTACTGTAATTTATTTTGTATAATATATAGGATATTGCCAATTAAGGAATGATTCTTTTGTTATACTTGCACTATGTTTTTATGAATGATTAGATCATTATATTTTTAGCCTTGAGGATGTTGTAAAAGCAATTAAATGATTCAGGTAAGGCCAAAATACTAGTGAAGGTGTAGAGAATACTATCATATTATTGTATTTAAAGTTAAGTGATTAATGCAATGTTAAACCTCTCCCTCTTGTTTTTGATATTAAGGGGGTTGAGGAGTGAGAATGAGATCTTGTAAGGATTGTCCGCACGTGGAGTATTGCATAGGTGACCTCTAGTCCATTGAATGTGGTTTAAGTGTTAGTAGTATTTTTACAACTGTGGAATTTTAGATACCCTTGTGTTGTAAAAAGTGTGAAATGTTAAGAATATATGTTTAGATGTCCAACTTTCTTATGTAAAATCTTTTAGGAGTAAAATTGTGTCACTAGTTAATTATGAAAAGAACTTTTTATAGGCACTTAAATCACTTCAATCGGACATTGAACGACAAATGAGGTGCGTTGGAAGTCGTCCTTAGATGTTGTCATATCTTATGCAACACATTACAGCACAGAGAAGAACAAGCCACGATGTGTTCCTCTGTCTTTCACTCCTTGATATTTTTCTACTGGTTTTGAGTCCTTTTAACTCCTTAAAGGTATCCATGCTTTTGTAATAATATTTTACTCTGATTTGAGTTTACTAAATGAATGAAAACTTGGGATCTCGTTTCCATAAAAATTGCAAACTCAATAATCTAATTAGATTAGTCCAATAATTATCTTGACTTTTGTACTAAATGTGAATTAATAAGGGTGACCTTATACTTCTCCCTTACACATTGTGCCTCTTCCCATCTCTTTTGTGTGTTTCTTCTCTCTTCTCCTCCTATTTAGCATCTTCTTTGCATCTTCTCTCTTCTTCTTCTCTTAAACTCAAGGTAAGCTCAATCTTCTTTATTAATTTTAATTAAGTAAGACTTTTTTTTGCTTGATTTTTTTTCATTTAGGTTTAGCACATTTTTTGAGATCTATCCAACTGAAGTTTCGATATCTATCAAAACAAAATGTGTACGAATTTGTTAAAATACTTTCTTGAGTTTGTTATGACTTTATTTTCACAGTAAATTGAGATGGGGAAGCCCTAATTTTAAGGGTAACTCTGTAATTTTTTTTAAATTTTATTCTCTCCCTTTTTATTTTAGTGCTTCAAATTTTAGATGCATTAATAGTTTTTAATATAAATTTATAGTGATAATTCAAGAACTCTATTTTTCTTTAGGTTATGAAATAGGGAGCATAGTTAGATAAATACTAGAAGATCAAGTATCAAGTATAATAATGAGGTGAAAGAATTTTTAAAATTTGTTAAAAATAATGTTGAAGACAATAGTGAAAAGTTCTATTGTCTTTGTGTGAATTGCTTAAATGAGAGAAGATTAGATTTTAGAGCTGATAATTCGAGCGGGCCGGGCTTATTTAATTGGGTTTAAAGTATTCCACTTCTTTAAAAAAGCCCATATAATCAAACCCAACCATAACACCTTTGGGCTGGCCCGAATACTCAAAATTTTTTAAAAATATTTTTTTTATTTTTTGAACCAATTTTAAAAATAATTCTATTAAGTGTAAAATATTATCTTAATTTTAAAAAAATAAAATTAAAAATAACATATAAACTTTGTACTTAAGTAGCTTTGCTATTATTTTGTTGTATTATTTATAATTTATTCATGAATATTTCCTTTACTTATAAATTAATGTCTTAATTATTTAAATATTGCTCTTATCATAGTCATGTATAAATATTTTATATATTTTAATAAATTTATATTATTTTAATTATGATTAAGTTGATCTCAATTCAATCACAATTAGACTACTAACTTAAAATTATTATCTTGATTAGTTCAAAGTTTTTAATAATTTTAGGTAAATTATACTTTTTATTTTTATGAATATAAAAAAAATTACCATCATTATATTATAAAAAAATTATTTAATTATGAGTAAAATGTTATTTTTTAAAATCATTTTTATTTAACTTTTTATATTATTTAACTCTTACATATAAGAGATTCTTACTCTAGTTTACTTTTAATTTTTAACCAAGTTTAGTATGGACAATAACCAAATAATTTTCAAAAATATTATTCTTAGTTATTATGTTTATCTAGTAGTAGAGTCAAAAATCCGTATATGCTTAAATATTATTTTTAAAATTATTTTGAATCTTATTTTTACTTTAATATTAATTATCTTAATTTATAAAAAATATAAAATTATTTTTATATGCAAATGATTTATAGGACTCAAATTTTTTTTGAAAAAAAATTGGGTTTTAAAATATAAAAATTAATATTAAAATATATTTTAAATATTATTTTGAGATATTTTATTGATTAAAAATAATAAAAATATGAAATATAACTATTTTTATTTTTTTAAAAAAAAACCATATTAAAACACTTATATGTATAGTATTTTGGTATAAAAGGATATAAAACTTAAAAAATTAATTAATATTTATCATATTTTATATATTTTTAAAAAATTATTTTTTATTCGGATATTTGGACGGTCCAATTAATAAAAAATTGATATTTTTTGGGCTTGGCTTTAAATTTTTCTCTAGAGTTCAGCTTGGCTCGTCGGGCTTAGCCAAATTACCGGCTCTATTAAGTTTAATAGAAATATGAGAGTACCTGATTTGTAATGGATTTTGCAAGAGTTATATGGTGTGGATATGGTATGGTAAATGATTGGCACAAACAACCATGTCTTATATATGGAAGAAGTTAACAATATTGATGAAGTATACATGGATGAATATCAGTTAGAGAACATGATTCGTGATGTTAAGAAGAAGCCCTTTGTGTAAGTATATATATATGATGACTTGTGCAAAGATGTGAAGAAACTTTTATACCCAAGTTGTGACCGTTTGTCTTTGTTGTTTATGGTATTAAAATTAGTTATTTTGAAAGCAAGAAGTGGGTGGTGTAATAAGACTTTTATAGAATTGTTAGAGTTGCTCAAATAATGTTTTCGAAAGACAATGAACTATCAAGTTATTGCTATGAGGCTAAGGAGATCTTATGCCCCGTAGGTAAGGAATATAAAAAGATATATACATGCCTTAATGATTACATGCTATGCAAAAAAAAAGAGTTTAAAGGGGAGGAAAAGTGTTTGAGATGTGAGGTATCGCGTTATAAAGAGAAAAGAACTTCAATAAAGGTCTTATAGTATCTTTTAATTATATCAAGATTTAAGCACTTGTTTGCAAATACTAATGACACAAAGAACTTTGAGGTGACATGCAGATAAGAAGATATTCAATGAAAAACTTTGAAATCCAACCAATTTTTCTTAGTAAAAAAAACTGATCAATTAGGGCCTATTTGATTACTGTCCTCATTTTTTATTTTTAGAAACTATTTTATGATATAGTTTTCAAAATTATTTTTAAAATAAAATAAAATAAAAATTTGTTTGGTTATGTGAATTAAAAAAAATTTTAAAATTAAAAAATAAACTACTAATAATAGTTATAAGCATTTAATGATTGTGATTAATAATAAAAATTAATCAAGTAGCTATAATTTTCAATTATCAAATGTATTATATTTTAAAAACAAGAAAGATAAAAAAAATAACATAAAGTTGTTTCAATTTTCTTGTTTTTAAAAACAAAAAATGAAAACAATTTTAAAAACAACTAAATGAAAAACACTTATTCAAATAAATTTTTAAAATTTTCTGTTTTCAAAAAACAAAAAACAATTTTTAAAAACAAAAAACAAATACTCACTCCATTAAAAAATATAAGGCAATTTTAACTGAATCTCACCTCCACTAAAGTAATTACCTACTTTTCAACTAACATTATTTTTCTATATTTACCCCTATTAAATACCCTACAATAAATATAAAGTTATTATTAATAGGGGCAATTTTAGAAAAAAGACAATATTTACACCTCAAAAAACTAAAAATGCCTTATATTTTTTAACATCAAACTCCTTAAAAAATATCTTATATTTTTGAATGGAGGGAGCAGGCTCTTATTTTTTAAATTTGGCAATAAGCCAACAAACTTTAAGCTTGGACTTTTTATTGATGGAATGAATTTTTACAATAGCTTTAATAGTATACATAGCACATAGTCTATTTTTTTGATGATTTATAATCTATCATCTGTGTATGAAATGAAAGTATATAATGTTATTTATATTGATTTTGAGACAAAACAATTTGAAAATAAGATTGATATTTATTTAAAACCTTTTATTGAAGGCTTAAAACAGTCATGAGAAGTATGTGTGGATGTGCTCCATACAAATTAGAATGATAATTTTAAATCACGTGCTATAATGTTTCATGGTAAATGAGCACCATAATTATTGTGGAAGAACTGGAACAGGCCATTACAGCGGTCGATGAAGTTATTAGGAAGATCACTTGCAGCTTCCTTCAGAGAAAAATCAAAGTCAGAAATGGCATCCTGACGTGCGTATGTCACACATACGCGAGGTTTAAGGATAGGTTGCCCCACGACCATGCGTGCTGATATTAAAAGGGAGGGGCAAACTCCACCACTCACATCTCAATTCTATTAGTTGGATTCTGGTTGCTATTGCGATTGTGAAAGAAAATTCAACGCAGCGATGGCTGACCTCTTTGTGAAGCAGGCAAAGGAATATGCAGTTTCGAGGCCATGTTACCCTTCCCAGCTATTCCGCTTCATCGCTTCCAAGACTCCTTCTCACCAACTCGCTTGGGACGTCGGCACCGGAAGCGGCCAGGCCGCCCACCATGTATGTGCCTTCCTCTTGCTCGAATTCCTCATTATTCCCCTGTTTAATTTTTTTCTCCATTCGTAAAAAAAGATTGATAGGGTAATCTGAATTTCAGTTGGCTGAATATACAAGAATGTGGTAGGCACGGATGCGAGTGTGAAACAGCTAGAATACGCAGTGAAGCTCCCCAACGTGCGATTCCAGCATACGCCTTCGACGATGTCATTGGCGGAGCAAGAACAGAAGGTGGCACCGGAGGGAACAGTAGACGTGGTGACCATTGCTCAGGCACTCCACTGGTTCGACCTCCCGACCTTCTATCGCCAAGTGAAATGGGTGCTGAAGAAACCTCACGGGGTGATTGCCGCTTGGTGTTACAACGTGCCCCGAGTGACGGACGCAGTAGATAAAGTGTTCGACCATTACGCGGCTGAACTGAAGCCTTATTGGGATCGGGCACGCGAATTGGTGGACAACAATTACAGGAGCATTGATTTTCCGTTTGAGCCGGTGGATGGAGCTGATGACACGGGGCCGATTGAGTTTGTGACGGAGAAGGAGGTGGATTTGGATGATTTCTTGACGTACCTGAGATCATCGTCAGCTTACCAGACAGCCATTGAGAAGGGCGTGGAGCTTCTGAGGGAGGATGTTGTTGAAGGATTTAAGAGTGCTTGGATTGAAGATGGATCTCTGCTTAAGGTTGCCAGGTTTCCAGTTTATCTCAGAATCGGCAAGGTTGGAGACGCCTGAACATCGCACCGCTTATTGCTTAATATCATCTCCGAATCAAAATTCTGATTCTAGCTGGATCTTTGCTGCTTCCAGTCATTAATAAAGATATCAGAAACCTTTTTTTTTTTTTCCTTGTTTAACTTTTAATTCCCCACTTCTAATGCCTGGTACTCACACGGTCACGCCAGATTAGAAGAAAATGATTAATGAAAGTGACTGAATAATAAGCTTTTGGCTTTGACTCTGTCACTTGTCTGCGTGATTTTCTTTTCAAATACACTTGTTTTTATGCTCTTTGGCATCGGCGAACCATTTTACCATCTTTATTGAGCAAACGTGTAAAATTTAAAGCATCAGGTCAATTTAAATGTTTTAATGAAATTTAATCTTTTTAAGAACATTTAATTTAATCACACGTCATATTTTAATGGATGCAGCGATGCACCCCTTCATCGACAGTAAATTTAAATATTTTTGTTCCTTTAAAAAAAAAAATGAATGCAATAACCAAGTAAAAGGACCCATCGTCCTCTTTAAAAAACTAGCTGAATAATAAATAAAAACCTAGACTTTTAAATTGGCGAGCTTTTTCACTGTTTTTCCTCTCCATTGATATTTCAACCATTTAAATTAAATTTATATTTTTAAAAATTATAAAATTTAGATTTATCATGATTCATTTTTTATTTTTTTTATTTTTTAATGTTACAAGTAAAATTAAACTCAGCCTCTCTCACTGACCAAATTTTTTTTTCATACCACTGTGCTACAAGATGATTGACAAGTCAATTCTCTTTTAAATATAGATTTATTCTGTATTTTCTACACCTAGAGGCTAGAGTTACCTGTATTACCTAAATAATAATAAAATTCTTAAAGTCCCTAAACTATATATGCGAACCCTCTTTTACTGCTCGCCCATTCCAGGCATCGAGAGCGTGATTTCGCGATCTCCAAAATGGACAAGATATTCGAGTCCATCGGTTCGTTCTTTAGTGGTGGCGATCAGATCCCTTGGTGCGACCGCGACGTCATTGCTGTAAGTTTCTGAGTCTCGTGTTTCCCTCGCTTCAGTCCCCCTTTATTTGCTGATACAATCTCTTGCTCGAATTTGAAACCCCGACCTTTTTAATTTTCCGAAAATCCTGTTTCGGCACCCAGTACTCGGGTAGTGTCGACTTGATCTAATTTCGGCTATCATCAATTTCATTTTTATAAATTTACTGATTTGATTTATAGCTCGGTCCACTGGCATATTTGTTGTTACCATTATGGCTTTGAACAGATTCAGTATATCATAATTGAGCGCTACTTCTCGTTCTTCTCAACAAAATATGTATTTATTTTCCAAGTAAAGAATTGGTAATATTATTTCCTGTTGAAATTGTTCAAGTAATCGCAGTGATGCTACTGCAGATTTTACTCTCGATTCGTTAACTTAAGCTGGCTATTATGTTGGTCGTAGCGTACTTGCTCGCCCTGTCCTCCTGCTATTTTCTTCCATCTGTCTGAACTATTTTCGTATTTTTTTGAAGGGCTGTGAGAGAGAAGTTGCAGATGCTTCAAATGGCGATTCTGAGGAGCGGAAGAGTGAGAGCATCATGAGGTTGTCGTGGGCACTTGTTCATTCAAGGCAACCAGAAGATGTGCAACGTGGGATAGCTATGCTTGAAAGTAATATCACAGAATAAATTGAGTACTTCATATTTCTTTCATAATGTAGCTGCTCGTTAAAACGCTACTTTTATTTGCCCTGATCATAGGTCTATAGTTTTTGGAGGAAAAGTTCCTTGCTCCATTCTTGATGTTTTTGCCTAATTGTGGTTTCATTTTAATAATTCCTGGGAGAATTACGTTGAACTGTTGAAGTCCCATACAACAAAATCAATTACTACAAAGTCCATTAACAAATAACACATTGTAGTAATTAATTTCCTTGTGAGACCTGTGTGTAATTTTCCCATAATTCTTTAATTTTCTTGAAACAATAATCATTGTTTTGTTTGTTCTTGGTATTTCATTTCATCTCCATAACACAGCATAATCTGCATTAATTATAAGCATCTTTGCTCTTTCCTGCATGGCTGCTGACTATGATTTCTCTGCCTTTCATGCCAAACCTAATCCATGGCATAAAAGTATGCTCTGTGATTATTGTCAGTTGTTTTGTTTGATTATTCTGCGAAGTGCTAACCCTAATTTAGGGATTGGAATTTTGCCAACGTAGCATAGGCACAGTATTTAAGCACCCTCTGCGTGGTTCTTTGTGGTCCCACAAAAGTTGCAGTCTGGTCATCGTGAATTTATGATTTTCCCTGCGAATCTGAATATGAAATGAAAAATTATAAATTTATCGAAGTAGCTTTTGCAAGGCACCATTGGACCTCTAAGAACTCTCAAACGTCCAACAACTATTGCCATTTGCTCCAAAGTCCAAAAGGATATCACTCAACATGCTAGTGCCCCATGATTTACGCTGCCATGAGTAATGAAAACTCAAATGTTAATATCAAAGGGCCTTATATTTTAGCATGCTTAGAAACTGTTTAAAAGTAAGCCTGAACTTTATCATTTGTAATCCTTGATGTGATTTGCAGCTTCGCTGGGAAATAATACCAGTCCTTTGCACCAAAGAGAGAAGCTTTATCTTCTGGCTGTTGGATATTATAGGAGTAGTGAGTTTTCGAAGTGTCGGATGCTTTTGGATCAGTGTTTGGAGGTCTGTCTTTTTCAACTTAACTTCTCTATGCATCTAACCTGAAACCTTGTTTTTCCCGTTCCTGATGCCAGACGGTCTTGTGTAATTTTTGTTGATACTGCTGGTCAAAAGCTATATAATAAGTGCATATTCTGGCTGGGAGTACGACTTCAAGACCTATCTAATCCCCATGAAACATCTGCCTTTTTTCTTACGGACTGGGGAATATTTCTGTTTTCTACGTCTAGTTCTTTCTTTTCACTGCATACAAGACCTAGTTTTTTCATGATTTTATTAGCTATATGTCCTTGTATTATCAACAGGTAGGATTCTTCACCATATTAGGAGGTTGAGTATATTTTTGCAGATAAGTTTGGCCACGCTTAACCTGTCTTCACCATAGCCTTCCCCCCCCCCCCCCAAAAAAAAAAACCATACCTTTTTAAAATTCAATCGTCACTGTCTATTTGGGCATTTTGTTCTTGCAGATTGCACCTGATTGGAGGCAGGCTCTGTCCCTCAAGAAAACTGTAGAAGACCGAATTGCTAAAGGTTGTACTGGGATTTACTTCTTGAGCTTACTTTTTATCACATGATGGCGTTAACTAAAAGAATTGCAAATGTTAATGTGTTTTTAACGCAGATGGTATCATTGGAATTGGTATCACTACCGCAGCTGTTGGACTTATAGCTGGAGGACTTGCAGCAGCATTTGCCCGCAGGGGATGAGGCAGTCCTACTCACGGAGACATGCTTGCGATTTTGGCCTCTTGTTTTAGTTTTTCTCAGGAAGCGTGTTAAACAGGTCAATGAGAAATGAACCTCAATTGACGACTGGTACTTCTAAGGTTTTAAATTCTCTCTAAACATCTTAAGATACACAAACCATAAAACGATTACTGTTTTTCAATACGATACTCATTCAGCCAATCTTTTCTCCGCTGTCATGTACGAAGAAGCGATTCCAAATCTATGAGTAGCAATGATTTTCAGCTAAAGTTGGCTAATGGTCTAGTTGGTGCCTTATATTGAGAAAGGCCTGGTTGTTGGAATCAATCGTCGAACAGTATACATCTCTTGTAAACCCGGCACACATGCATTGTTGTTTGGTTTGAGGCACCTCTAATTAACGAGGTAGAGAAATACTCGTTCTTAGCTAACGGTTTCTGTTATTAAAAAAAATAAAGAAAAATATGCTTTTTGATTCTTGCACTTTGTCCGTGTTTTGTTATAAATTTTTACATTTTTTTTTGATATTTTGGGTCCTTATACATTTATTTTTTGCTGTTTTACATTAATGTAAGGTTCTTACACTTTGTTTATTTTATTCACTTAGGAACTTAAGAGATCTAAAAATAAAAATGTAAGGATTCAAAACACTGAAAAAAATATATAGGGATTTATAATAAAACACAAGCAAAGTGTAAAGTGTAGGGATCAAAGGTATGTTTTTCTAAAAATAAAAAATAAAAAACTACACAGTCTGGGTGAATTTGGATTTTGGCATTAAGAAATAGGGTAGTCCGTACTAATATATTTTGTGATTGTCATTTTAATCCTAAACTGGCACTAAAGCCAGCTGCTGCTGCTCTTGTAGCTCATTTTCAAGGCTAGTCGGATTCGGAGCAACTCACCAAATATGCTGTGGTTATTTCGTTGACCCTGATTCCGGTGGCGGGATGCCGTTGCCTTTTCATGCATTGATCGGGTGTCCATGTTAAATTAAAATACATTCCTCTTACAGAAATGTGGGACACTTGAGTTCAAATGCGTGTTTTCTAATGGAGCTAACTAACGAAGTAATGGTCAATCACAGAAGAGGAGTGCCTGACAAATTTCACCCAGAAAGCCTAAAACATGAGAGAATTGAATTGAAGGCAATCATAGTGTGGCAAGAGAATGTGTTGACAGCAATGATGAGAAATTCGAATTCAGCAAACACATAATTGAGAATCATGAGCAGCAAGCGGGGCATCTTATCAAGCCATTCTCGTTGCAGTGCGGGCACCTCCTTAACTCTGCTACTTCCCGCTCGAACACCTTCCTACTACCATTGCAATTAAGGCAGGGCACGAACCTGACACCTCCACAACTGTCGCACTCATACTCTGTATCTTGCTTAGGAAATCCCATCAACAGTGTTGCCAATTCTCCAGATTCATTCATTTTCTTTATTTCCTCTGCACCTCCTACGCGCCTTCCCCTTATGAACACCTCCGGCAACCTCACTGCCTTGTTGCCTCCTACTGCATTCTGCAACTCCTTCCTGTACGATGAGTCCATTGAGATGTCCCTTTCATCCACTGCTACCCTGAATCCCCTCAGTATCATCCTCACCGCACAGCAATCTTCGAAAGTCTTTCGGATCCCTCTTAAACTTGTGAAATAAACCACTATTTTATCTTCAGTACCCGGTAACGTTGACCCATGCAGATTGCTAGAAAACGATGAGGTTAATTGGCTGGACCCCGTGGACCCGACTCCTATGGAGAAACTGCTTCCTAATCGTCTGGATGATAATGCTCGCCGGTAACTCCAAGCTACATCTGGG